CCACAGGCACTGGATTCTGAGGAGGCCTCCTGGTTTTCTGTTTTCACAACTGTCCATCCACAGGCACTGCACTCTGAAGAGGCCGCCTGGCTTTCTGTTTTCACAACTGTCCAGCCACAGGCACTGGATTCTGAGGAGGCCTCCTGGCTTTCTGTTTTCACAACTGTCCATCCACAGGCACTGGATTCTGAGGACGTCTCCTGCTTTTCTGTTTTTACAACTGTCCATCCACAGGCACTGGATTCTGAGGAGGCCTCCTGGCTTTCTGTTTTCACAACTGTCCATCCACAGGCACTGGATTCTGAGGAGGCCTCCTGGTTTTCTGTTTTCACAACTGTCCAGCCACAGGCACTGGATTCTGAGGAGGCTTCCTGGCGTTCTGACTGTCCAGCCATAGGCACTGGATTCTGAGGAGGCCTCGTGGTTTTCTGTTTTCACAACTGTCCATCCACAGGCACTGGATTCTGAAGAGGCCTCCTGGTTTTCTGTTTTCACAACTGTCCATCCACAGGCACTCGATTCAGAGGAGGCCTCCTGGCTTTCTGTTTTCACAACTGTCCAGCCATAGGCACTGGATTCTGAGGAGGCCTCCTGGTTTTCTGTTTTCACAACTGTCCATCCACAGGGACTCGATTCTGAAGAGGCCTCCTGGTTTTCTGTTTTCACAACTGTCCATCCACAGGCACTCGATTCAGAGGAGGCCTCCTGGCTTTCTGTTTTCACAACTGTCCAGCCATAGGCACTGGATTCTGAGGAGGCCTCCTGGTTTTCTGTTTTCACAACTGTCCATACACAGGCACTGGATTCTGAAGAGGCCTCCTGGCTTTCTGTTTTCACAATGGCCCATCCACAGGAACTCAATTCTGAGGATGTCTCTTGGCTTTCTGTACCTGAAGAGGGATGCCATGGCACAGGATCTTCTTTGGAGAAGACAGTAGCACAGAGAGAAGTCGGCTCCTGGGGTTTTAATGTGGAGTCTGGGTTCTGAAGAACACTCATCCCTTCAGTAACATCCAAGTTCACATGAGCGTTATCTTCAGGAATAGAGGGTACAGGAAGTGTCAGAGAATTTCCAGAAACAATTAAGGGTGGAATGGAGGAGGCCACCAGGGGTTGGTTTAACTGACAGGGGAACGGTGTAGGATTAACCAAGAGAGTGGTGATAGGAATGGTCTGGGGATTTGGGGCCACGGCTGCATTAACAGGCTGGATCACATTACACCCACTACCAAGGCTTACAACCTTCACTGTGGTGGCAGGGACAGCGAAGATGACGGGCGTCGGGTGGACAATGGGGGCAGGTTTCACACAGGGAGAAAGTTTGGCTCCTTTTCTTCTCATGGGCTTCGGCCTCAAGAATGGCTTTTGAAATTTTGAAGGAGCAAGTGAGGGTAGCATTATCTTGGGTGCAGAGGAAGAAGATAGTAGTGACTGAGACTCAGACAAGGAGAAGCTGGTCCTGGCTTCAGGACCAGAAGGCATAGCTGGCAGTGCTGCTGCAGGAGACTCTATACATTCTGTGCTGCTGACCCCCACTGGAGGGAAACCTTGAAGTGTCTGTAAGACAGGGGTTGGCTGGATAAGATGAGGAATCTGAACTACTATGTTGCCTGGAGGGACTTCAGATTGAATTGGCCAGGTTGCCATTTTCCCCAGGTTTAACGCAGGCTGAACACAGGGACTGGGTTGGATAAGCAGGGGCTTCTGGGCCAATGGTCGCTTCTGTCGCCAAGCCCTTCTGGAGAAACGCTTGGAACCCGGCTTCAATTTGAGAACGACACCCTTGGGCATCAGCAATGGGTATCGAGTTTCAGTCCCTAATTCAGGGCTGGCTTTCTCCAAGGGGTGATCTGTACTGGTCTCTGGGGCTGGGGTCACATTTTCTCCTTCTGCAGGACCTTCAGCTATGTTCCGAAGTTCATCCTGAATGGACTGTAGACTGGCCTACAGGAAACAAGAACACGGTGCTCTAGCATGTGGCAGAATTTAGGGGAAAGAAAAATTAGCTTTCTGGATTCTAAGGACTCGTGGAAGACAAAGATATGGTCCCAAGAAGGGCTTTTCCATGCCTCAGTGTTCAAGGAAAAGCATATTCATCTAAGTGTTTAAACTCTTCCCGAATTTACATTGGACAATTATCATTTAACTGCTAGGAACTTTCAAGGGACTCCTGCCTCACAAAGACACTGAAGGATGGCCAGACCTTCAACCAGAAGGGGAGCTGGTGTTCCTCCTTCTCTATGGGCGGCTTCCACTGATGTGGCTGGATCTCTTCACAGCACCTCACCAGAACTGGCAGCTGCTTGGTCTTCTTATAAAACTAGGCATGAAACACAAATCACAAGTCATATTCCTTCAGACTGGAATATGGGGTGGCTGATGGTTTCACACATACACACAAATGTGAATGCTGAATATTTCTGCATTTAAACAAAGTATATGTAATTAATGAAAATTTCACAAATATTCATTATATAAATGCAAATATCCATTCTGATTACCACTAAGTCTCTAAAAACTCCCAGTACTTGGGAGGCAGAGGCAGGTAGATCTCTGTGAGTTCCAGGCCATCCTAGTATACAAAGTAAGTTGCCAGACAGCTAAAACTGTTACACACAAAAAAAAGACTCTATCTGGATAAACAAAAATAAACAAACAAATAGACTCAAAACTATCTACCCCAATGTTCCTTTGGAGGGAAACTTGGAAGCTTAGATCAGAAAGAAAGGAAGGAAATGATCTTAGTAAACCATTCATTCTGCACAAAGAGCTCAACTCTCCTGTCACAAATGGCCTCACCCTCTTCTCAGACACAGAGCTTCACCCTCATCTCACACACAGAGGCTACTTGTAAGCAAGTAACAGGGTTAAGTGGAAAAGATACTGTAACTGAACACTATGATGAGGAGCTGTAATCCCAGGGGGAGAGGCAGAGGAAGAAGAAGAAGAAGGAGGAGAAGAAGGAGCAGGAGGAGGAGGAGGAGGAGAAGGAGGAGAAGGAGGAGGAGAAGGAGGAGTGAAAGAAACAGCTTCCATTTCCAAAGTAAATGGGCTAGAGGTGGTGGAACACACATTTAATCCCTGCACTTGGGAGGCAGAGGCAGAGGAATCTCAGTGAGTTCAAGGACAGTCTGCTCTACCCACCAAGCTCAAAGACAGCCAGAGTTACACCGAGCGAACCGGCTACCCAGAGCGATCCCATCTCAAAAAAACAACTGGTGAATGTTTGGAGCATATGTGCACCAAACAACATATGGTGCACATATGATCAGGCACACACAAATACACATATGAAATGACATCTTCAAAACACAGACAAACAAAAGAAAATTGAAGTCAATGTGTGGGTAAGGTGAGCTGAGGATGTGCTTTAGTCATTCCTCGACCTTTACCACTCAAGGAGGAAGGAAGAGAAGAAGGGAAGGAAGGAGGGGGACAGAGAAGTAGGGAAAGTAAGGGAGGAAGAGAGGAAGGGAGGGAGGGAGGGAGGGATTCATGACTGAGGGTAACAAATCAGATCTAAAGGCAAAGCCCCAAGAAGTCATTTGTAAACCTCCTATTTCAAGAGGTGACAAGCACACCACCTCCCAAAAAAATACATTACAAGGAAAAAGGATGAAACACTTTCATAAGAAAACCATCAGAAAAATATCACACTGACAAATAATTAACCTCTATTTCTCTCTCACTTTTTAACTAGGATATGGTTATGGAGCTCTGGATATTCCCAAACTCACAGCAATTCTAGAGTCTCTGTCCCCTGGGTGCAGTGGCCAGTGCTACAACAGCACACCTAGCTTACCTCACTCCTGAAGTATAATCTGCATGACGCTGACGTAAATGTCTAAATGAAAAGCAGCACTAGAAGCTGGAGAGGTGGCTCACTGGTTAAGGCCAGGGCCTGCTCTTATAGAGGACCCCGGTTCAGTTGGAAGCACACATGCACCCATGTCAAGTGCCTAACACCTAACTACACATGACTGCAGGTTTAGGGGATCTGGGCCACTGCACACATTTGCACAAACCCACGCACGACACATGCTTAATTAAAAAGCAAAGCAAATCTTTAAAAACCAAAGAAGAAAGCAACACACTGGAGACAGTTTACAATGCAGTACTGGGAGAAGCATGGAGGACTTGTGGAATCCTTTGACATGAGTTATTTCATGAGAGAGGCTAGGTGAAGGTACTCCAGAGCAAATTAACGGATCACTGCCTTACAAAGGAAAGGGCAGACTAATCTAACACAGTGGGAGGAATTATCCTTTAAACCAGCCTTCTTTTGGAGGGACTTCCCTGCCTTCACTGACAGCTGAGAGGAGGAGGAGAAAGGGCTAGGTGCTCCTCTGCAGGAGGCACAGGGGAGCTTGAGCAAACGCAAACACTCACTTTAATCACGTTGTTAGGAGCTCTGTTCTGGTTGAGGTTCTTGATTCTCACCGTCAGCTGGTGAGCGGTCTTACAAGTTACAAGGTACTTGCTGATTAGAGGTTTAGGAAACTCAGTGCCTTCGAAGTGCTTCAGTCCTAAAGCTAACAGACTGAGAGAGAAGCAATGATACAACCTAACTTCACAGACCTTTCTTCAAAAGAGCTCTCCAAACTGCTCTTGCTTCACAAACACTTTCTACACCTTCAGATACTTACCGTGTACTCAGTATTTTAAGAACCAAACATGAAGGGCTCAGTGGCATCTGAGGGAACACCCTGGATTAATCCCAGAGCACTGTTAAAATAAAATTTCTTTAAAGTTCTTTGCATAAACATCCTTGGGGAAACCTTGTGATAAAAACACAGAAGAACAGAAACAGCCAGTGGCACACTCTCAACACCCAGGAAGCTGAAGCAGGAGATGCCATGTTCAAGATCAACCTGGGTTCATGGCAACCCTGTATCAAGAAAACAAGGGCTGAAATGTAACTCACTGGTTACAGTGCTTGCCTACCATATGGGAGGCCAAAGGACTGAACTCCAGTGCCCCATACTCTGGTTTCAAGGATAACATAATCAGGGCACTGGCCAGGCACAAAAGAGACTGGCCCCATTTCAAAAATAACAACAAAAACATGTCACAGAGTGAGCTGTTCCAGGCATGGTGACACACTCTTGCAATCTCAACCCTGTTCAGAGGCTGAGGCAGGAGCAGTGCTCTAAGCTGGAGGCTTACCGAGGCTATACAATAATACTTGGCATCACCCCTCCAAAAAAAAAAGAGGGCTCTATCAATATCAATTTCTCTTCTATATGCTTAGAGGAAACAACCTAAGCATGATCTTTTTATGTAGGCGTAGGGTTAAAGTATTACCTTGGGTGTGCTTCCTTTAATGAATTTTTTAATTGAAGACAATAAGCCAGTTTCATTCTTTGATGGTTTTTCTCCTCCTGAAGGCAAGCTATCATCAACCTCTGAGTATTTCCTTTTTGCTCTGGCAGTGCGCTGTGTTTGGATTGGACTGGGTTGCTGAGAAGCCTTCCGTGTTCTCAGCTTCATCTTTTATGGGTGCCACATGTAAACCTGTAGGAGAAAAATAACATAAGTTATCACCCAATATGTCCAGTTATTTTACACAACAAAATTCTACTTCTTCACAAGGTAGGGAATGGGTTTGTCCTTTTGACCTTAAGCTGTATTAAGGGTAAAACCTATCATTTGATGAATGAACTTCATAAATATAATTCTAAAAACTAATAATCATGTAAGAGTAACAAAAAAGGCTGGATCACTTCCATATGAGTTCAATTTTACCACACACAGTAAAATTGGATTTATAGGTCAAGGTGTAAAATACTGTACAGCATGTGAGGTCCCAGGTTCTGCCCCCAGCAACACATATACAAATGCTCATATTTAAAATGAAACTATTGGGGGGAGATGGGCTAGAGAGATGGTAAAGCAGTTAAGAGCACTTGCTGCTCTTCCAGAGAACTCAGGTTTGATTTCCAGCACGCACATGGAGGTTCACAGCAATCTTTGACTCCAGTTCCTAGGGGATTTGACACCCTCTTCAGGCCTCTCCAAGTACTAGCACATACCTGGTACTCAGATGCTCATGTAGGCAAAACACACATTCAAAAAATTTTAGAGGGCTAGAGAGATGGCTAAGAGGTTAAGAGCACTGGCTGCTCTTCCAGAGGTCATGAGTTCAATTCCCAGCAACCACATGGTAGCTCACAACCACCTTGAATGAGATCTGGTGCCCTCTTCTTGCCTGCAGGGTTACATGCAGAGCATTCATATATATAAAATATAATTTCATTTCAAAAATATTTCATAAAATAATGAACCCATAAAATAACTATACATTGCTCCAGTCCCTAAAACTGTTAACAGACTGGATGAACATGGGCCAGCATGAGCTAACATGAGATCTGAGATGCTGGAGCAACCCCTAGTGTAGGAAACAATGAGTCCAAACCAAATTCTCTCCCCTAAGGTACAAAACTGTGAAGGCTCTGGAGGGGTGGCAAGTCCAGTTAACACCTAAGGCACAAGAGAAGCTATCATTAAGGACAAGAAAAGGGTGGAAGATGCAAACTGCCACTAGGATAGCACTCACCAGGTAACACTGAGGCACGGAGAATAAACAAAAGCCCAGAGCTGGATTCTGAGCAAAATAACAAGGGAACTTAAGACAATGATGCAGGAAACTGAAACTCAACTTTTTTTTTTTTTTTTAAATGGTTTTTCAAGACAGGGTTTCTCTGTGTAACTGTCCTGGAACTCACTTTGTAGACCATGCTGGCCTGGAACTCATTGAGATTAGCCTCTGCCTCCCAAGTGCTGGGATTAAAGGAGCATGCCACCACTGCCCAGCAAAACTCAACTCTTGACTAGGCTATCCCAAAGGCCTTCACTTACAAGTCCAGGAATCCAATTTTCCAAATACATTCTACCAGCATTTACTTTCTATTCATAATATTCAGTATTCAGTAAAATATTCCAAAAGCTGGCAAGGTGGCAGGTTGAGTAAAAGAATCAGAAAAAGCATACAATTTGTCAATATTGGGAATGAAAACTTGAACCAAAGACTGTAGACTTAGAAAGAATTATGGAGAATTTCCAAACCATTTACATTCACCAATTCAGGTAAAATGGGCAAATTCCTCAAAAGATGAGTCACAAGCAGGAGACAGTGTGGCACACAGCTGTAATCCCAGCACTCAAGAGGCCAAGGCAGGAGTATCTGACTTCCAGGCCAGCATGAGACACAGCAAAACTTGTCTCAACAAAAATCCAAGCATTACACAATGTTAAACAGCCCAATTAACCTCATATTTAAAACGCAATATATAGTAAAAAACATATGTAAAACACAAGGTCCAGATGGCTTCACTACAGAACCCAATCAACACTTAAGATATATTTATTTTATGTGTCTAGGTGTTTTGCCTGCATGTGTATTTGTACCAGAAGATATTCAAATCTCTGGAGCTTGAGTTACAGGCACTTTGCGAGCTGCCTGATGAATTAACTGGGTGCTGGGAACTGAACACAGGGTTTCTGGAAGAGCAGTATGACTCTAAGTCACTGAGCCATCTATCTCTATAACCCACCACACAATTTTTCTCTATAACACTTAAAAAGATAGGAGAAGACTGGGACATGATCGTGTTTAGTAAATAAATCTAGTACTAATGAATGAAAATGGTAAAATGTGATAATATTTTAAGTCTAAGAACTTGAGACATAAAAATAAAGCACTCATTTTTGTAACATTCCAACCAGATCTCATTTAGGATTATAAAGTTTGCTGCCCAGAAATCTAAAACAAAAAAAAAAAAAAAAAAAAAAACCACAGAAAAACCCTGTCTCAAAAAAAACAAAAAAAAATTTTCTGAGTAATGCATCAAATGAAAACTTTCTCGTCATCATCTGAATACAGTAACAAGTAAACAGACTCTTTACCACAAAGCAGCTGGGCATATTAGCAAACACATCATGGAACCACAAAAGCGCTTTCTCCAGGGTGCACATACCCTAGAGAGCCCCTCCCAGGAGAGTTTTCCTTACCTCCCTTCACAGATCTACTATTAACTCTTCAAGAAAGAAAAGTGGGGAGGGGTGAAAGAGGGAATGGGAATGAGGGAAGACCCATTAAAGTCCATAAATCTTTCAAAACACTTAAAATAACATAAGCAGAATTAATTCTATACTAAACATTAAAGCTGAGCATAATAAACAGATCACAAACTCAACATCCTTAATAGAGTGCTTGCCTAACATGCAGGAAGCCCTGGGTTACATCCACAGCACCCCATAAACCGGGCATTGTAGTGTACGTCTGCAGTGTACTGGGGCTCTTGTCAGGTAGAGGAAGGACGATCAGAAGTACAAGGTCAACTACATAGTGACTCTGAGGCCAGCTTGGACTACATGAGACCCTCTCTCAAAACAGGAAAGACAAAAAGGATCCCAAGATGAGGAGGATGTGGTGAAGATGACATTGAAAATATTTCCCGAGACTCAGGGTTCTACCAAGAACAAGAAAACAGGGGAAGCCACAGGACAAGCAGGTACAGTGACCAAACACATCCAGTAGAGAAGATGAAATATAGATTATAATCAGTGAATAACATTAACAGTGAGAAACCACTTGTCAAGCCAATGTCAAACTTAAGTCTTCGGAGTTACGGATGCATGGAATCTTACCAGAAATACTCTGGTGGTGCTGGCCTCGGAGCTCAGATTGGGGTTGGAGGTGGTGAGAAGGTAGACTTGTGTCAAGAGCTGAACATGCTGGGAAGGAAAGAAAACTGACATGTTAAAATGTTGCTGTTTCAGAAACACAGATCTTACCAAGAGCTCTGCAGATGTATCAAACATATCTTGCTTCTCAGAGGGACTAGAGCAAAGCAGGATCTTGGCATGAGTTTCTGAGATATGTTCCTTTGAACAAGACCACAAACTCAGACAAACTTGAACCTCAAACTAGAGAGACTAAGACTGAAAGAGAAAAACTAATCCTGACCGTTCCCCAAGTTTGAATGCATTACCTAGAACTCTGAATTCCCAGATCCTGCACTTTATCAGGTCTTTATTTGCTTTCCTGCCTGAGCCACAGGCCAGGAACATGCTGTTCTCTCAAGGTTTTAGTGGACTGGAGGTCCTGTGGCCCGTGGTTTCAATGCAAAGCAGGACAGCCATCTCTGACTTTGCAATACTCTCACTTTGGCTTCCGTGTTCAGCTGGGAGATGATACAATTACAAGACAAAGAGAAGACTCTTGCCTGCTGCATCTGCTGCTGAAGCCTGCTCCTCTGTGCTGGGTCTAGAATCAGGGTCTGATGGACTATCTCCTTCTGAGGTTTAAGCCTCTCCACTTCAGGCTGGGATTTGCATGCAGATTTTTTCATTTTCAGATGTTCAAGCAGCTCTTTCACTGTCCGATTTCGTTCATTTAGCCAGCTGGCCAATGGTTCCCCAAACCTATTTCCAACAAGGAAAAAATGTGTATATTTCCTAGTTCAGAACACATCAAATTTCTGTAACAACATATTAACCAAGCAAGAGAGAGACCATGCCTCACACTTTCTTCTTTCCACTTTGGTCACCAGTGGAAGCCACTTTCATAGGGGTGTGGCCACTAACACAAATACACTGGCAAGGCTAGATGCCATTACATTGTAAAGATGGAAAAAACACAAGAGTCTGTATCCTGTATGTTATTGTTTTGTCTTTGAATTTTTTGGCTAAGAGACACTGGATTATAGAAAATGCTGGATTAAACCAACCTATATATTTTTAAAACATCAAAACTTAGAAATTAAAGTCAAAAGATACGTTACTTGAAGAGAGATTATGCTTTTGTTTCTATAGGAAATGAGCAGCTATGGATTCATTCCAGATTAAGGAAAATCAAGTTTGATTGAGGAAGACCCCCTTAACATCCTGGCTACAAACATTAAGAATAAAAAAATAAAGCTAAAAGAACTAAAAGACATATGAGGTATATTTTCATGCTCAAATACATTAAAAAGAAATTATCTTTGGCTAATTTATCTACAATGTACATTCTATACTTGTATTAATGCAGACAAGTATTTTATCTTTAACAGTTTATGTATTTTCAGAGCAAGAGTATTTTCAGACTATACACTAATAAAAATGGATGGTCCAGGAAATCCAGTATCCAGAACAGTTTCCAGACTGCTGACTGAGATGATCCAGCCTCACATAATACTACAGCCAAAACTTAGCAGTTATCCTAAATATTCTCAGGGTCCCCCCGAAGAGTGCCAGTGTCCACAATCAGCAACAGGAAGTAGTATAGAAAACTACACTCACGTTCCAAGAAATTAGTTAGGGATATTTGTTATCATTTAAGTAGGGCTGGTTACAAGTTGTTATTGGTAATATTAAAGAAAAAAGTTAACAAAGGTGTTAGATTTAAGGATCTCTTTCTGAAGAGAAATGGGGGGATAAAGACATAATAGGATAAAGGGTAGATTATTAAATCTACTTTAATTCAAAAAACAACTATTAAATATTTTACATTGCTATGGGTTTTGATTTGTTGATACAAATTTAAAGTTAAATTTGTTGGCTGAGCATTGGTGGCACACGCCTTTAATCCCAACACTTGGGAGGCAGAGGCAGGAGGATCTCTGTGAGTTTGAGGCCAGGCTGGTCTCCAGAAAGACTGCCAGGATAGGCTCCATAGCTACACAGAGAAA